GGGTAAGAGAGGTGTGGTGGAAAGAGTGATGCACACATGAAGAGGGAGTGTGAGCTTTTGTTTCATGAGTCTGAACATTGAGGACATGAGGGTGAAATCAAGACCTTCAGTTGTGTTTGGAAGCCATGGTCTGAGGGATTCCAGGAGAATTTATAGACACGAGAATGTGGTTTCTATTTGTCCACCTTCCTGTTGTTGCTGTGGGAGAGTACAGTGACCAATGGGAACATGAGGAGAGAGTGGGCATCAGTGGCATCAGGGCCTGTTGTATTCCCTGAGATGGGGAGGAGGGTGAGCTGGGATGGATATGTTGGGGAATCAACTTGGGGTCCTAGAGAGATGCTGATCATGGAATGAACTGTGCCCCATCATAGCAGGGTTTTGTAACCTTTGAGGATGTGGCCATTTACTTCTCCCAGGAGGAGTGGGAGCTCCTCAGTGAGACTCAGAGGCTCCTGTACTGTGACATGATGCTGGAGAACTTTGCAGTTATGGCATCCCTAGGTAAGGCCCTCATTTCTCCAGTGTCCTTTGTGGGTCTCTGCTTTTCCCCTGTTCCTGAGGCAGTTCTGCCTTTCTTCAGTCAGACCCTGAGCTCTACAGACTTTGCTACTTTCTTGGCATAGTGTTATGGGGGACATCGCCAGGCAATGCACCCTCAAGACTGTCCTAATACCTGTTGCCTCTAGGCATGCAGTGAAGGGTCTGGGAGACAGGATCTTCCTTTTAACCTAAAGGATTTGTTCTTGCCTTCTCCATGACAGGATGGCTTTGTCTACTTCTAGGGTGCTCTTTGTTCCATCATCTGCCTTTGCTTCTTTTCTTTGGTGGGGGCAGGGGGGCATGATCTCACTCTGTCACTCAGACTGGAGTGTGGTGGCACAATCTTGGCTCACCACAACTTCCGCCTCCTGGGTTTAAGGGATTCTCCTGCCTCAGCCTCTGAACTACCCAGCTAATTTTTATATTTTTACTAGATATGGCGTTTCATCATGTTGGCCAGGCTGGTCTTGAACTTCTAACCTCAAATGATCCACCCCTTTCGGCCCCCCAAAGTGCCGGGATTACAGGCATGAGCCACCTTACCCAGCCTATGCCTTTTACTTCTAACTGAAATCTCAAGCCACCTGTTTCAGGAATTACAGGCATCATCATGGTAACCACTTGATTGGTCCATAGGCTTTTCATAAAGACGCACCTAAAAGATTTTCTTGTAAAATTATTTTTCTCTGCTGTAGTTTGTCATGTGTAAAGTTGCTCTGCGCCAGTGCTGGCTGTGCTCCTCTCTGGTCTTCCCTTTAGGGCTTGAATCTTACAGATCCGGTATATTTGCACAACTGGGATTGGGGATGGCTCTGGTTGCTTTACAGGGTGCACATAGCAAGATACTCTCAGAAGAGGCCTGGCCCTGATGAGTGACAACTAAGGGAGGGCAAGATGCTAGGGCTGTTTCTAATCACCCCATAAACCTGTCCTGAGTTCTCAGTGATTGGGGGCCAATTACATAGGATATATATCATTTCTATCTTTTTTTCTTATCTACACATGTTCTAATTTTTATTTCTTCCATGACATCCAGCCCTTAGCTGCTCCCAATTTCTGGCCTCCATGTGTCACCTGTTCCCTTCCAGTGCAACTTTTAGAGGGTTCTCCAACACTGACACACTGACCCACAGATAATATGTTGTCAGACGTACACATTTTTTTTTTTCTCATCTTCAACTGTCTTGATCAAGTTATAATGCACATGTTTTTAAATAGTCCTTCCACAACTAGTATTCAGTTCCCATGGGTTTCTATTGGGCCTGAACACCAGTAATCTTCTGTGCAGTGTATCCAAGTCATCAGGAGAGGAGATCCTGATAAAAGCTTTTGGCAGAATATGAGTCAGAGACCCTGCCTCTTCTCTCTGAATTGTGCCCCATCTTTGTGTCTTTCATCTCATAAAGTCTCCCTTGTTCTGTGACTTTTAGATGCTTTTTTCCCCAAATTGCCACCAGCTCTCATATCCTAAGAACATTTTCTTCAACTCATTGTTTTCTGTCTGACACACATTTTTCATGTAACTTCTCACACCATAATGAACCTACATTTTCTCACCATTTCTTTTTCAGGTTGTTGGCGTGGAGCAGAAGATAAGGAGGCACCTTCTGCAGACAGCATTTCTGAAGAAGAACTGTCACAGGGCAGGACTCCAAAGGCAGATCCATCCACCCATAAGAGTCACCCATGTGAGATTTGTACCCTAGTCCTGAGAAACATTTTACAAATAATTGAGCTCCAAGCCTCACTCTCTGGACAGAAATTACACTTGGGTAGGGCATCAGGAGATTTCCAGTTGAGTTCAAACCTTCTTCAGATCCAGAAGCTTGATAATGGAGAGAAGCTCTTTAAAATGGATGGGGACCAGGCCTCATTTATGTTGAACTGCAGATTCCATGTGGCAGGAAAACCCTTCACATTTGGGGAAGTTGGGAGGAACTTTTCAGCCACCTCAGGACTTCTCCAGCATCAGGTGACTCCCAGCAGTGAGAGACCACATGGCAGCATTCTACACTTCCGAGTTCCCACTGGACAAAAGCCTTTCAAATACATTGAATCCAGCAAATCTTTTAGGGAGAAATCTGTATTCATTCAACACCAAAGAATTCACTCTGGAGAAAGGCCTTATGAGTGTAGTGAATGTGGAAAATCCTTTAGTCAAAGTTCTGGCTTTCTTCGACACAGGAAAGCACACAATAGAACTAGGACACATGAATGTAGTGAATGTGGGAAATTATTTAGTTGCAAAAGTCACCTAACTCAACACCAAAGAGTTCACACTGGAGAAAAGCCTTATGACTGCAGTGAATGTGGCAAATCCTTTAGGCAGATATCTGTCCTCATTCGACATCAACGAGTTCACACTGGAGAAATGCCTTATCAGTGCAGTGAATGTGGGAAATCTTTTAGCCACAGCACTAACCTCTATCGTTACAGTAGTGCCCACACTAGCTCAAGGCCTTATGAGTGCAGTGAATGTGGAAAGTCCTTTAGCCATAGCACTAACCTCTTTCGACACTGGAGAGTTCACACTGGAGCAAGGCCTTATGAGTGTAGTGAATGTGGGAAATCATTTAGTTACAGTATCTACCTTATTCACCACCAAAAATTTCACAGTGGAGAAAGACCTTATGTGTGTACTGAATGTGGGAAATCATTTAGCCAGAAATCTGTCCTCATTCAACACCGAAGAGTTCACACTGGAGAAAGGCCTTATGAGTGCAGTGAATGTGGGAAAGTTTTTAGCCAAAGTTCTGCCCTCCTTCAGCATAGGATAGTTCACACTGGAGAAAGGCCTTATGAGTGCAGTGAATGTCGGAAATCTTTTACCCGCAAAAATCACCTAATTCAACACAAGACAGTTCACACTGGAGAAAGGCCTTACGAATGCAGTGAATGTGGGAAATACTTTAGCCAAAGCTCTGGCCTCTTAAGACACAAAAGAGCTCATGTGCAGTGAATGTGGGAAATTATTTTGTTACTTTTTTTGTTTGTTTTTGAGACAGGAGTTTCGCTTTTTTGTCACCCAGTCTGGAGTGCAATGGCAGGATCTCCGCTCACTGCAACCTCCTGGGTTCAAGTGATTCCCCTGCCTCAGCCTACCAGGTAGCCGAGATTACAGGCGCCTGCTGCCATGCCCAGCTAATTTTTGTTTTTTTAGCAGAAACGGGGTTTCACCATGTTGGTCAAGTTAGTTTTGAACTCCTGACCTCAGGTGATCCACCCACCTCAGCCTCCCAAAGTGCTGGGATTACAGGTGTCAGCCACCGCACCCAGCCTGTTTTGTCACATTTAACACTGAAGATTTCCCAAAGGAGAAAGGCCTTATATATGCTGTGAGTGTGCTTTTTTTTTTTTTTTTAAAACTTGGTGTGATGGCACTGGAGGCTAGCCTTTGAGAAGAGCCTTCTCCTGATTTGACTCATATAGCCAAACATCCATGGATTCCCCATAAGTTTGAGGTATGTGGGAAACATGTGTAGCTATGTTGTACTCCCTCAACCTGCCCAGAGACCTTACAAGATTCACATCACTACCAGTTTCTGCAGCTGAAGCTTTTTCATTCCACCTGGGAGACACACAGAGTATGCATCTCAGGGAGGCAAACTTCTTCCATTAGCTGGAGGAAAGCATGAGTAGTCTAAGCTCTTAGAGGGGTTTCTTGTTTCCTCTTTTGGCTACATAGTGTAAGGGTAGCCCAGAGAAAGGAGAAAAGACCTAAAGTTAGGAAAGCAAGTTTTATTAACCTGCTGAGCTGCTCCGTAACAATCAGAGGAGGCAGCCCCAGGCTTACAAACCAAGGGATTTATATGGGGTGAGAGGGGCATAAGGGAGTTTCAGGACTGAGGTAATTTATCTGCTGGTAGCAGGCACAGAGATAGTTTGTTAACTTGTAACAGACTTACAATACATCATCCTGTGACTTTTGTGGCAGCAGTTTTTTAAAAGAGAAACCAGGATTTTTTGCAGATATGTGCCAAACAGGAATTTACAAATATGGATAACAAAATTTATTTTCCCTGTCCTCCCTCGAGCTGCCTGAGCTGCCCAGATGACTGTAATCAGGCTTTGCTTAATTGGAGCACGTCTGGCAGCCTTGATTGTGGCGCCTAGGTAAGGGTTTAGGAATGCAACTGCAGGCCGGGCGTAGTGGCTCACGCCTGTAATCCAAGCACTTTGGAGGCCAAGGCGGGCAGATCACCTGAGGTCGGGAGTTCAAGACCAGCCTGACCAACATGGTGAAACCCCGTCTTTAAAAAAGAAAAATAAATAAATAAAAAAGGAATGCAACTGCAGAGCAATCAGAGCTGCAGAGCAATCAGAGTGGAAAGGGTCAGCTTACACGGAGCGGGTGTTCTGAGGCAGTTTGTCCTAACACATAGTGCATATAACTACCCCAGCACTGGCCCCAGGACCTGATGTGAGTATTGTTGGCAACTTTCAGAGGACTGCTTTTGTTGAGGACATTGTTGATCTCAGGTGATGCTTGTGATGAAGTTTTCTTTAGCTTCTACCACATACCATGAACTACCTGTTTTTTGTTGTTGTTGTTTTTGTTTTTATTGTTTTTTGTTTGAGACAGAGTCTCACTCTGTCACACGGGCTGGAGTGCAATGGCGCGATCTCGGCTCACTGCAACCTCCGCCTCCGAGGTTCAAGCAATTCTCCTGCCTCAGCCCCCTTAGTGGCTGGGATTAACAGGCACATGCCACCGTGCCCAGCTAATTTTTGTATTTTTAGTAGAGACAGGGTTTCAACAGTTTGGCCAGACTGGTCTCGAACTCCTGACCTTGTGATCCACCCACCTCGGCCTCCCAAAGTGCTGGGATTACAGGCATGAGCCACTGCGCCTGACCTGAACTACCTGTTAACTGGCTTGTGCAATGATAAAGGATTTGTTTAAGTACCTTTGATCTTGTAAGTTGTATTAACTGTGGAGTAGTTTGGAAAGATAATAGGACTCTGTCAGCTTAAAGGGGTAAATCACATTTGTAAGTATTCAAATTTTGTTTGTCTCCATGATCTCCGCCTCAGAATTCCATTATTATTTATGATTGTTCTTGTTGCATGCATTCTTACCCACATTAATGGGTAATTTTACTGTTAAACCCAGACATGTAATTTAATACAAGGCTTCTTTAGAATGATTTTCTGAAGTGTATGGGATTTTCATATAACTGATTAATATTTTAGAAAATATAAAAATTTAAAATATGTTATTAGTGCTGAATATTACTAAGTTTTTCAAAGACTTTTTAAAAATAGTAAGTGTAAACAAAACTACAGGCCAATATCCCTGATGAACACAAATGTAAAAATTCTGAATAAAAACCACAGGCCGGGCACGGTGGCTCACACCTGTAATCCCAGCACTTTGGGAGGCCGAGGCGGGTGGATCACGAGGTCAAGAGATCGAGACCATACTGGTCAACAAGGTGAAACCCCGTCTCTACTAAAAATACAAAAATCAGCCGGGCATGTTGGTGCGTGCCTGTAGTCCCAGCTACTCGGGAGGCTGAGGCAGGAGAATTGCTTGAACCCAGGAGGCGGAGGTTGCGGTGAGCCGAGATCGCGCCATTGCACTCCAGTCTGGGTAAGGAGCAAAGCTCCGGCTCAAAAAAAAAAAAAAAAAACCACAAACACACAAAAGTTAACTGATGAATTCATCACTAACACATCAAAAGATAATACACTATGATCAAATGGGATATGTTCTAAAGATGCAAGAATGGTTCAATATATGCAAATTAATAAACATGACACTGCATCAACAGAATTAAAGATAAAAACCATATGAGTTTCTCAATATACACAGAAAGGCATCTGATAAAGTTCACCATCTCTTTATGATAAAATATTCCAACGAACTAGGCACAGGAGGGACGTAACTGTAAAATAATAAAGGCCATTTATGACAAATCCGCGGCTAACATCACACTAAATTAGGAATAGCTGAAAGCCTTTTTCTCTAAAAACCAGAACAAGACAAGTATTCCCATTTTCACTGCTCCTATTCAACATAATCCTGGAAGTCGTAGCTAGAGCAGTCAGAAGAGAGAAAAATAAAAGACGTACAGACTGGGTGTGGTGGCTCACGCCTGTAATCCAAGCACTTTGGAGGCCAAGGCGGGCGGATCACCTAAGGTTAGGTGTTCAAGATCAACCTGACCAACATGGTATGAAACCCCGTCTTTAAAAAAAAGAAATAAATAAATAAAAGGCATACAAATTGAAAAATTAAAAATATAGCCTCTCTCTGAAAAAACTCAAGTTTTATAAACATTCATTAAAGTTGCAGGATACAGAGCCATACAAAACTCTGTATGTTTCATACATCAATAATGAAACGCCTAAAATAGTAGGGCAATCTCATTTACAATAGCTACAAAAATAATAAACTAGGAATAAATTTAACCAATGAGGTAAAAAATAATCACTGCAAAGAAAACTACAAAACACTGATGAAAGAACAAGAAAAGGATACAAGGACATTCCATGCTCATGAATTGGAAAAATTAATGTTCGTAATATATCTGTACTAAACAAAGAAGTCTATAGATTCAATGCAATCCCTATCAAATTTTTTTAATTTTTTTAAAAGATGGGGTTTCACCATGATGGCTAGGCTGGTCTTGAACTCCTGACCTCAGGTGATCCACCCACCTTGGCCTCCCAAAGTGCTAGGATTCAAGGCGTGAGCCACCGCGCCTGGCCTTCTATCAAATTTTAATGTCATTTTTCACAAAACTAGAAAAAAAAAAGTCTAAAATTTCTGTGGAACCCCTTTAAAGAGACCCTGAATAGCCAATGCAATCCTGAACAAAAAGAACAAATATGACCAGGCATGGTGGCTCTCACCTGTAGTCCCAGCACTTGGGGAGGCTGAGGCTGGTGGATCATGAGTTCAGGAGTTCAAGAACAGCCTGGCCAAGATGGTAAAACCCCATCTCTTAAAAAAAAAAAAAAAAATTCTTGGCTGGGCGTGGTGGCTCACACCTGTAATCCTAGCACTTTGGGAGACCGAGGTGAATGGATCACCTGAGGTCAGGAGTTCAAGACCAGCCTGGCCAACATGGTGAAACCCCATCTTTAAAAAAAAATTAAAAATAAAATAATTAAATAAAAAAAAAGAACAAACATAGAGACATCACACTAACTGATTTTAAAATATATTACAAAGCCACAGTAACCCAACAGCATGGTATTGATATGAAAACACATACATAGACCAGTGGAACCCAGAGAAAAATCCATATTTACAACTGACTGATTTTGAACACAGCCAACAAGAATGTACATTGGGGAAATGACATTTCCTCAATAAATGGTGCTGGAAAAACTGGATAACCACATGCAAAAGAATGAACCTGGACTTCTGTCCCTCCTTGTATACAAAGTCAACTCAAGATTCATTAAATACTTCAACATAAGACCCAAAACTATTAAACCACTAGGACAAACATAGGGAAAACTCTTCTGGACATTATTCTAGGCAAATATTTTATGAGTAAGACCTCAAAAGCACAGGCAACAAAAACACAAAATAGGCAAATAAGACCACATGAAACTTGAAAGCTTCTGCACAGCAAAAGAAACAACAGAGTGAAGAGATAGCCTCTTGAATGAGAGAAAATATTTGCAAACTACTCATCCAGAAGGGATATTCCTAAAATATACAAGGACCTCAAAACATCTCAACAGCAAAGAGCAAACACGCAAACTATCTCATTTAAAAATGGGCAAAGGACATAAACAGGTATTTCTCAATTCAAGACATACAAATGGCCAACAGATATATGAAGAATGCCAGAATCACTAATTATCAGAGAAATACATATAAAAACCACAAGATATCATCTTACCATAGTTAGAATGGCTTTTATTTAAAATGACAAAAATTAACATGTTGGTGAGGATGTGGAGAAAAGGAAACTCTTGTACACTGTTGATGGGGATGTAAATCAGTACAGTCATATCAAAGTGATACATGCTTACCATGTTTATTGCAATACTATTCACCATAACCAAGATATGATGTCTTCATCATCAAATGAATAGATAAAGAATATGTAGTATATATACACAATAGGATACTATTTGGCCACACAAAAAAAGTATGAAATCGTATCACTTCCAGCAACATGAATGGAACTGGAGGTAATTAAGCCCGGCACAGAAAGACAAATATCACATACTCTGACTCATATGTGGGTACTAATAACATAGATCACTTGGAGATAGGAAGTGGAATGGTAGATAGCAGAGACTGGGAAGGCCATGTTAAGAAGGATGGGAGAGGATGAAGAGAGGACAGTTAATGAGTATAAACATAGTTATATTAAAAGAAAAAATTTTAATATTTCATAGAGAACAGTAACTACAATTAACAACGTGTTGTTTGTTTTTGAAAAGGAGTCTTGCTCTGTCGACAGGCTGGAGTGCAGTGGCATGATCTCAGCCCACTGCGACCTCTGCCCCTTGGGTTCAAGCAATTTTCCTGCCTCAGCCTCCTAAGTAGATGGGACTACAAGCACGCCCCTATGCCCAGCTGATTTTTGTAATTTTAGTAGAGATGGGGTTTCACCATGTTGGCGAGGATGGTTGATCTCCTGACCTTATGATCCACCCATCTCGGCTTCACAAAGTGCTGAGGTTACAGGCATCCATCCTGTATTTCTTAAAAAAACTAGGAGACCTGAAATACACCCAACACATAGAAATAATAAATATTTGGGAGGTGGACACTAAATTGCTTGACTTAATTATTACACATACTGTGCATGTAAAAAAATTTCATATGTACCACATAAATGTAAAAATATAATGTATAAAAAATATTTTTACAATTTTAAAAAATGACAACTTTTTTTGGATAATTATTCTGTTCTTAATAAGAGATAGTAAAAGGTTTTCTTTTTTAATTTTTAAGTAGTATACCTAGAAAACAAAGATTCTGCACCTTACCAGAATAATTTTCTGTTTTATGTTAACCTTAATTATCTCATTGGCTATTTAAGAAAATGACATCGCACTTTAAAAATAGCTCAAATTGGCCAGGCACGATGGGTCACACCTGTAATCCTAGCACTTTGGGAGGCTTAGGCAGGCAGATGGTGAGGTCAAGAGATCAAGACCATCCTGGCCAACATGGTGAAAGCCCGTCTCTATTGAAAATACAAAAATTAGCTGAGTGTGGTGGCACACACCAGCTACTTGGGAGGCTGAGGCAGGAGAATTGCTTGAACCAGGGAGTCAGAGGTTGCAGGGAGCCTCAATCACACCACTACACTCCAGCCTGGTGACAGAACAAGACTCTGTCTCAAAAAAAAAAAAAAAGCTAAATTTGTTTTGTTTTGTTTTTACATTTTTGATAATTTTGCCTTCCCAAAATCAATATCTAAATAAAAATCTCGTTCTCAAACTAACCCTGAGATTTCCCAAAGCACCCCTGGAAAATCTCAAAAGATTTATTGATTCACCTTGTAAAAAGAAAAATGTTAAAAAGTTTTGATTATTTCTTCCCCATGTTGAGTTGTATAGGAACTATTGTGAAATAAATGATGCTTAACCTCTCCTAGGTTATACTGGTATAAGTAAATATTGTTAATATAAATATTTCAGAAATTATATGAAATTCTTAGAAAGTTTTCAATGTCCTTGTTGTCCATGATCAATGTTGGTATAATGTTGTGTCATAAATCTAGCTATTGTTAAAATATTGTATGTCAAAGAAATAACCAAATTTTCTTGTCAAATGAACTCTCATCAGATCTTTAACTTCAATCATTTAAAGCCTTTTATCATTCACAGATAATTATTGTTTTACCCTGATGCTTTCCTAAATGTTCTTGCAATCAGCTACAGGCCAAAATGCTTCATGATGGCTTTGCTTACATAACTCTGAGACTATACCACTAACCTGAGTAAGGATTTCCAGAAATCTAGCGGATAATCTGAGCACCTAATGGATTCATGAAATGACTAACACCAGATCAATTCTAACAAAAATGAATTACATGGATGTAATGATCTGATCAAATATAATTATGGTTTTGTTTGGAACATTAGTGGTTCTATTTTCCAGATATAAGTAAACCCTTTCCATTCTCTTCAGTTATTTATACTCATGACATTGGTAGATTGTACTTTTCTAAATAGAAATGAAACATTTAATTTTCCTTCTTGCCTGATCCCTCCAAAATTTGGAATATATATATATATATATATATTTTTTTTTTTTTTTTTTTTTGAGACGGAGTTTCGCTCTTGTTACCCAGGCTGGAGTGCAATGGCGCGATCTCGGCTCACCGCAACCTCCGCCTCCTGGGTTCAGGCAATTCTCCTGCCTCAGCCTCCTAAGTAGCCGGGATTACAGGCACGCGCCACCATGCCCAGCTAATTTTTTGTATTTTTAGTAGAGACGGGGTTTCACCATGTTGACCAGGATGGTCTCGATCTCTTGACCTCGTGATCCACCCGCCTCGGCCTCCCAAAGTGCTGGGATTACAGGCTTGAGCCACCGCGCCCGGCTGGAATATATATTTTTTGAGACAGGGTCTTGCTCTGTCACACAGGGTGGAGTGCAGTGGCGCAATCTTGGCTAACTGCAACCTCTGCCTCCCTTGTTCAAACAATTTTCCGGCCTCAGCCTCCAGGTAGCTGGGATTACAGGAACATGCCACCAAACCCAGCTAATTTTTGCATTTTTAGTAGAGACAGGTTTCACCATGTTGGCCATGGTTGGTCTCGAACGCCTGACCTCAGGTGATATGCCCACATCAGCCTCCCAAAGTGCTGGGATTACAGGCTTGAGCCACCGCGCCCGGCTTCTGACTGTAAATTGCAGTAATCCCCACGTGTCAAGGGCGGGACCAGGTGGAGATAACTGAATCACAGGGACGGTTTCCCCCATATTGTTCTCGTGATATTGAGTGAGTTCCCACCAGATCTGGTGGTTTTATATGGAGCTTTCCCCTGCTGCCCTGTGAAGGGATGACTTTTGCCGTGATTACTTTTCCTGAGGCCTCTCTAGTTATTGGAATTGTGAGGCAATTAAGCCTCTTGCCATTATAAAAAAAATAGTGAACCATGAGTGGACTCAGAGTGACATTGGTTGTTGTGTGTCCATTTGGTTTTGTGGCTTTGGGGAACAGATGTAAGAAGGTATCTCTCAATATTTCGGGGATCCCTAGAGACTTCACAGGAAATGGATGAGGGTCCTTTAAGTGGAGCGAAGCTACGCCCTGGCATCAGAGTCTTAGGGCATAATTTCCCTGCACCCCTCGCAGTATCATTTAGCCTTCGCCCGGCGCGCAGGGGAGTTAGCCCTGGTCTGGCCCAGTGCACATGGGAACTACATTGTCCAGAAACCTCTGCGCCCCACGGCGGCGGCAATGTTACGGGCGTTTCCCTGTGGCCTGAAGGTCTCTGGGCGGGAGTTCCGGCATCTTTCTCGCGGCAGACATATTGTCGGCTCTCCGGTGGGATCATCTGAGCAAAAGCTCGGGGTTGCTGAACGGTTCCTAGGTGGCGGAAGCGGGAGGGTGCGGGAAGAGACGCTGTTCGCCCTGCAGAGTGGCTCGCCAGCGAAGACCCCCCGCCTCCGCCCCCGGGGTCGCACCATCGCGGTCCCAGGGTTCCGCGACCTGGGTGTACCTCGCGGCTTGGTGCGGTCTACGAACTGTGATGGCGGCGGCCGTGGTGTTGGGCCTGGCGCAGGTGGGTGCTGCGATCCCCAGACTTTGCCCGCCGGGAATCCTGAAGTCCTGAATGAGGAGCGCCTGCCTGAGTCCCTGCAGCGCAGGTCCCAGTGTCCGGGGCAGCGGGGCGCTGGTGGGTGGGGCCCGTTCCCAAAACCAGCGTGTAAGTTAGGAGCGAGCGTGACGGGCAGAAGGGCCGGGCAGCCTGAGCTTAGGCGTGGAGCTGGACTGAGCCCGGAGCAGTCGCGAGCGTGTGTGAGCGGCAGTCACGCCTGCAGTGTCGCGGGGAAAAGTTGTACCTTCATTGTGAGGACGGTAGGAGCCATGGTGAGCTTATAAGGGTGGAGGGTCCTTTCACAAAAAAAGTTGAAATTGTATTAAAAAAAAATACAAGAGTGAAGGGACGGAATCTGATAAAGCATTTTAAAGTATTCCAGCGTTCGCTGAGGAGGAAACAGACAAGAGTGAGGTAGAAACGGTGAGGATAGAGGCAGGGAGACTTTTGAGGAGACCCCTGCAACAAACTCCAGGAGTGTTGTCTGATGGCTGGGCCCGAGCACTGGCAGGAGGAGTTGGGGTAGGGAAGTCATGAGATTCTGGATGGATTTTTAAAGATGGAACCAACAGGGTTGCCTGCTGCATCAGATGGGAAGGGCTCTTCAGGTTTTTTTTTTATTGCCGGTTTGTTTGCCTTCTTGAACGTGTGAAAGAATGGAAATTGGTAAGTCAGATCAGGGAACACCTTTCAGGGGGATCAGCAATTGGATTTTGGACTTGGTGAATCTCAGGTGTTCTGCATTGGAGCTTCTCATGGGTAGCTGAACTTGCAGGTCTGGAGTTGGAGAGAGGGAGTTGTGCTAAAGACTTTCAATGCGTGAGGCATAAGGTCAAAGCCTGTAGATGAGATTTAGAGGGTGGGATGTTAAGGATGTTATTTTATATGGTCTCTGAAGTGAGAGGTAGGGTTAGGGTGGCAGACCAGGGAAGAAGGTGTGGACACTTAAGATTCCTTCCAGAAGCCGGGCGCGGTGGCTCAAGCCTGTAATCCCAGCACTTTGGGAGGCCGAGGCGGGTGGATCACGAGGTCAAGAGATCGAGACCATCCTGGTCAACATGGTGAAACCCCGTCTCTACTAAAACTACAAAACATTAGCTGGGCATGGTGGCACGTGCCTGTAATCCCAGCTACTCAGGAGGCTGAGGCAGGAGAATTGCCTGAACCCAGGAGGCGGAGGTTGCGGTGAGCCGAGATCGCGCCATTGCACTCCAGCCTGGGGGGTAACAAGAGCGAAACTCCGTCCCAAAAAAAAAAAAAAAAAAAAAATTGTTAAAAAAAAAATTCCTTCCAGAAAGGAGGGGTCCTGGCATGTAAAAGGATTCTTTATGGTGTCAGCAAGAGGAGAGGGCTGTAGAGCATTAAGTAGCGTGGCATGCACTGGAGACCAAGGCCTGAGATACAGTAGATTTGCCACTCTACAGGCTCAGCACGCCCTCATGGGCACTGCCTGTGGAGCAGTCCCATCCCCAACCTGTGCACTGGTGCCTCAGTTACCCAAACAGGTAAGCAAAAATGGTGAACATCTCTAATGAAGGATCATGCAGCTCCCCTTTATAGGAGTATGTATCAGGTAGGCTGGTTTAGTGCAAGGGCCAGTGTATACTTTGCAAGTACACAGAAGTAAGGAACCAAAAAATGTACATATAAGTTAAATTTATACCAGCACTTAATGATTGGTCAAAATATTAATTTGTCTAAAGTATTTTCTTACAATGGGAAATCTTACCAAATTTTCTGAAAAGCTTTTAAAGCAAGCAAAACAAACTTAATTTTTCAAAAACTCATCAGTTCATTTGCATGGATATTAGTAGCTGTTGCAGAGGCACTTCACATGTACAGGCAAGCCTGATACAAACAATAGCCCTATGAGGTGGGTGCCATTATTATCGCCACTTGTAAGTTGAGGAAACTGAGACACGAGTCTTTATTTATGTTCACACAGCTGGCAGGAGTCAGCACTGAGGTCTGAGTATCTGAAGTTAGAGAGGTAACCCAAAATTGGCCTGGTGTGGTAGCTCACGCCTGTAATCCAAGCACTTTGGAGGCCAAGGCGGGTGGATCACCTGAGGTCGGGAGTTCAAGACCAGCCTGACCAACATGGTGAAACCCCGTTTTTTTTAAAAGAAAAAAAAAAAAAAAAAAAGACCCAAAATCATTCCTGCCAAAGAGCAGGGTTGGCAGGGGTTAGGGAAACAGTTCAGTCCATGAGATCCCACTGTGGGAACCTGCCACTCCCAGCTTCCCTCTTCTTGTGAGGTTGCCATGGTGACAGAAGCTTGTGATTCCTACCTAGATGAGTCCAGATTGTCTCAGGCCCTCACTTAGCCCAACACACCCCCATTATCCCAGCAACTCAGTATAGAGAATTAAGAGTGTTTTGAGACTCTTCAGTGATCATTCTGCCTACCGTCTGGGGAGGTCCTGCAGTCACCCAAAGCTCTGTGTTTTGGAATTATGTGGAAGGGTTTCCATTTCTGGCAAGCAGTGGGATGGAGTGTGGAGCATTATCTCAGGCACAGGAACCAGCACATGCAAATACTTCACTTGAGGCTAAACTAGGAGTGTTTGGCCTCAGGTCTCCATTATGACCGGTGGGATCAGACAGCAGGAAAAGGATTCAGCCCAGGAACGGTAGGCCGCCTGAGGATCTGGGTTTCCATGCTGAGATTGGTAGGAGCCACTGCAGGTTTGGATCTAGGAGGGAATGATCTGACTTTGGTCTTAACCAGCTTTCTCTTCACTGTCCAGTGAAGAAAAGACTGTGGGAGTGAGGATGAGGGAAGGAATACCACTGAGGAGCTTAATGTAACAGTTTAGGTTGGACCTGAGTGGTGGCTGTAGAGGTGGGAAATGTGGATAGATTCTGAATCATTTTCCTTAAAGAGGGACCAACCAGATTTTGGAAGATGAGATAGAAAAGGGGAGGGGTAAAGGATGATCCTGCATTTTTTTTATTCTGAGAAGATACAAGGATGCCATCATCTGAGGGGGACAAAGTTGGTGGTAGGAGTACCTTTCAGAGGTTATATCACGAGTGTAGTTTGGCTATGTGGAATCTGCCATGTTCCAAAGACACTTGAGTGCAGGTGTCAAGTAGACAGCTGGACACAGAGATCTGAAGTTCAGAGAAGGGACTCAGGTTGGAGCTATCCACAGGGTGGCAGCTAGCATCTGGATCAGGATAGAGTTTTGCTTTTAGTTTAGAAGGAGAATCTTTAGGTCATGGTGGCAGTGCCATCAGAGAGCACAATGTAAGGGCAGGCACAGCAGGGTGGGGGTAGGGGCCATCTTAGAGGCTAGAAGAGGGAGGGAAGTGTCCTTGGGAGGAAGGGGAATAATAGGTTCAGGCAGGTGGCAAAGTTTCAGGGAGAGAGTGGATGTGAGGTGAAGTACTGTAGTAATAGAAGTGAGGTGGCAGTGAGACCAGAGCCAGTGCTTATTCAGCTCTTTATGTGTCCTCAGGCTTCCGTGGTGGCCCCTGTGGAGTTTCAAGCTAGTGAATTAGTCCAGGGACAGATTGGGTCAGTAGGCAGAATCACTGTGCTTGGGGTAGGTGCTCAGTGGGTGTGGGTTTTGAATGAGTTAAATGTTGAGCAAAAGCCGGAGACTGACCTCAGTAGTACAGCAGCAAAGCAAAAAAGTGCTGTGTTCAACTGAGCTCTACCCATGTTTCTGGATTGCTGAACTGACCCATGAAATAGAGCCAGGAGAGGAGGATTTAATAGCTGGATTCAGGATACCATGGCAGTGGGGCCATTGACTAGGACCAGATGTAATCCTGAATACATTATGCAAGCATTCTCTGGATGCTGTGTGATTTGCATTTGGGGAAGCCAGGGAGGTACCTATGTAGTAGGTGTCCATAGACGTGAGGTAGGTATGGCCAAAAAGGGTGATGTACACATATAGATGGAGTGTGAATTCATGGGCCCAGAGCTTTGCTACTGAGGGTTTCTGAGAGAATGCTGAGCTCAGGTTTGTATATGAGGCATAATCAGTTGTTCCCAGGGGAGCAGGCTGATAGGAGAAGCCAGGCCGTGGTGTTTTGTCTGTCCACTTGCCTGTTCTAGGCTGGACAAAAGGATTAATGGAATATGAGGAGACAACAGACACCAATCACATCAGGGCCTGTTGTCTCATTTGAGTTAGATGTGACTCCTGGAGAGAGGGGCTGCCCTTAAGCTCAGTTGTTCACCACCTCACACGGGACTATGTGACCTCTGAGGACTTACTAATGTGCTTCTCTGAGGAGGAATGGAAGCTGATTGATGAGGCTCAGAGACTCTTCTATGATGAAATAATGGTTTTTGTGCTTTGCATTTATAGTCTCCCTAGGTAAGGCCCCAGTATCCCATTTTTGTGGGCTGGGCTCTTCTCTGCTCTGCTCTTTTTGCCCTAGAGGTTGCTCTTGCATGTACTATGGAAAGACAAGAGCAATAGGGCAGAAATGAAGAGCATGGGCACTGCTGTCTTCTCTGATTCCCTCACATATGTCCTCTGGTACCAAGACTCAGCTAGATGCATTGTGTCCTCTGTTTCCTGTGTTCCTCAACTCCTGATGCCCTGAAGCCTTGCCAGGAATTGTTTAGGGGTCAGGGGTCCTAAGGTAAACCACTGAATCCTGCTTGGCCTCTCCCTGGCCAGGTGACTGTCCATATTCGTGAAACCCCTGGACTCCAGACTTCACCCCCTTTCTCTAATTGCAATTTCTTTGAGTCTGCTTGTGTGTCATCAGTTTCAGCCATCATGGTCACTACTTGTGGGACCACTGGACTGTTCCTGTAGGACAGTTTTCTGAGGTTCATTTTGTATTATTTGTTTTCTTGTGATTTTGCATGGGTTTCATCTTTCCCCTATGCTTTGTATCTTCCAGGTCCTCTGTCGTTGATGAACTGTAACAAGAGAGAGAACTCCAGGTGCCTAACTGAAGAGGGCATGACTCTAGTCACAGCAGGAGGGGC